TAAGAAATTTTAAAGAACATTTTAAAATAAAAAAGTCTGTCAAACCAAGAAAAATATTTTTAGGAATAAAAAATTTACTTGAGAATATTACAAACGTATTTAGAATGTTATAAAGATTCTTAGGAATGTAGAAACACATTTTAGAATGTTAAAAACATATTTAAGAATGTCCACAAAAATTTAAATTGTAAAATCATATTTAAGAATTTCAAAATAATTAGGAATGTTAAAAACTTAAATGGCAACATGGCCATTTTAGGAGGTTACCAATACATTTAAGAATAAAAAAAAATTAACATTCCTAATTTTTTAAAATAAGAATTTAGAATGTTAAAACCATACTTAGGAATGTAAAAAGACATTTTAGAATGTTAAAAATATATTTAAAAATATCCACAAAATTTAGAATGTAAAATCATATTTAAGAACGTCAAAAAAATAGAATGTTAAATGTCAACATCCCATTTTAGAAGGTTACGAATACAATTAGGAATATTTTAAAATAAAAAAGTGCCAAACCAAGAAAAAATACTTTTGAGAATGACAAATTTACTTAAGAATATCAAAAATGTATTTAGAATGTTAAAAAGATTCTTATAAATGTAGAAACACATTTATTTTACCAAACTGTTAGAGGACTTCGAACCAAGTTAATACCTTTAATGCAATCAGTAGCAATGACTGAGTTTGATGTCCTAATATTCACAGAAACTTGGCTAAATGACACTATAACTAATGCTGAACTTTCCCTTACTAACTATCACATATACAGATTTGACAGAAATCACCAAACTAGTCACCATAGTCGAGGGGGCGGAGTCCTAATTGCTGTAAAAAAATCCATCGCGTCATATCAAATTCAACTGACCCCAAACATTGTCGAACAGCTATTTGTAATGCTAAAACTTGGTTGTTTACAAATTATTGTAGGTTCAGTATATATACCACCAAATTCACCTATAAATGTTTATGAATGCCATTGTACCACCGTAGAGTCTATTGTAGATGAGCTTAAAATTGGTAATAATCTAGTAATCTGTGGTGACTACAATCTACCTAACATTAGTTGGTATAATGATTTAAATGGTCTTAATATAACTGGAAATTTAAATGATAAATCTCTAGCAATTCTTAATTCCTTCAACTATTGTAACTTTTATCAAAATAATGTTGTGCCCAACCATCTTAACCAATGTTTGGATCTTGTATTTTCAAATTCAGGAAACTTACTAGTTAATAGTGCTGATGAAGAACTCTTACCCATAGATAAATACCACCCCCCTCTTCACTTACAATACTCAATTGAGGCAAACCAACAATCAAACTTTAATAAAACTTATTTTGACTTTAAAAATTGTGATTATGAGTCTCTAAACTATTTTTTGGCTGGCATTAACTGGGATACCATTTTCAGTTCTGTCAATGTTAATGAATGTGTTGAGAATTTTTATAAAGTTATATATTACTTGTTTGATTTGTTTGTTCCTGTAAAAAGTGTTTCTAAATTTACATATCCAGTCTGGTTCTCTTCAGAGCTAAAAAAATTAATAACTGCAAAAAAACTGGCTCACAAACATTACAAGCAATTTGTATCTAATGAAAACTATAGCAAATTCTCAGAAGTGAGGAGGCATTGTAATTTACTTACCAAAGAATGCTACTCAAACTATATAAAAAATATGAGCAATAATATAAATAGTAACCCAAAATATTTTTGGCAATATATAAGATCGAAAAAACAAGACACAGCATTGCCAAAAATAATGAAATCGAACAATGAAAGTATTTCTGATCCTACAAACATAGCTAATTTATTTGCAAATCACTTTGCTTCTGTATATAGTCCAAAACATAATAATGCAGTACCTGATTTTAATTATGAAAAAACAATTGATAATTTTAATTTTGTATTCGGTGATTGTGACATATTTAACGAACTTTCTACTCTTAATAACTGGAAACCTTCAGGTCCAGATTCCGTACCACCATCTGTACTTTATTATTGCAGATTCACTTTAGCTAAGCCAATAAGAATGCTTTTTAATATGTCCTTAAAATGTGCCACATTTCCTCATATCTGGAAGACTAGTTATGTAATTCCTGTGTTGAAAAGCGGCGATAAAACTAATGTAGCTAATTACAGACCAATCTCCAAGATATCAACGATACCCAAATTAATGGAAAAAATACTTTGCACACATTTGTCAAATTTAATTTTGCCTATACTAAATGAACAACAGCACGGATTCTGTCGCAAAAAATCTACAACCACAAACTTACTTGAATATGAACAATTCCTGTTGAAGGCCATCGAAAACCATGGCCAGGTAGATGCTATTTATACTGATTTTTCGAAGGCCTTCGACAAGGTTGATCATACTATACTGCTTCAAAAGTTAGAGGCACTGGGAATTGGAAGGAATATGAGTGATTGGCTATCTAGCTACTTGGGTGATAGAAATCAAATTGTGTTAATTGATGGGAAAATTAAATCCTCTTCTATCGCAGTTACATCCGGGGTTCCTCAAGGAGGTCATTTGTCACCTTTACTATTTAACTGCTTTATAAATGATATAGTCTCATGCTTTCAACACAGTTACTGCTTAATGTTTGCAGACGACCTTAAGTTATTTAAAATAATAAATACTCAATACGATTGTAAAAAATTACAAGATGACCTAAATCGGTTACAACACTGGTGCGATGAAAATAAAATGACCCTAAATACTACTAAATGCAAATCTATAAATTTTACCAGGAAAAGAAATAAAATTTGTTATGTATACAAAATTAAGGATAATCCTCTTGAAAATGTATCCAAAATCAAAGATCTGGGTATAATTTTTGACAATAAACTTACCTTTAATGATCATATAAATGTAATCATAAACAGATCATACCGTATGTTGGGGTTTGTAAATCGGCAATTAAAAGATTTTGATATTTCGTGTCTGAAAACGGTATATATAAGTTACATTAGATCTATCCTGGAATTTAATAGTATCATCTGGTCACCTTACTATAACATCCATATCAATCGAATTGAAAGAGTCCAAAATAAATTCTTAAGAACTTGTGCTTATAAACTAAATATTTTTCCAATTCCAGCGGACATATGTGACATAAGGCTAATAATAAATTTACCCTCATTAATAACTAGAAGACAGGAAAATGACATATTATTTCTGTACAAAATTCTAAATAATTTAATTGATAGCTCCTCACTTCTGGCCGATATTAGATTACATGCACCTCTAAGAGTAAACCGACTGAATACTTTATTTTACACAAACTCACATAGTACAAATTATTCATACAATACTCCATTGGATCGTGCATGCAGACTTGCAAACGTAGTTAATATTGAATTTTTTGTCAGCACACTTCATACTTTTAAAAAACATCTTCAATTAAAAATAAATTCAGCTGGGATCTAAGCATTGGTACGAATTTGAATTCAATGGTATTTATTTGTTAACTGTTATTTTTTATGGACATTTATTTATTTATGTACTATTTATTTTTGTCTTACTTTTTTTTTTTTTTTTAAATTTATATATATATAACTATATTTTATACATTTTTTATGTTCTGTATGCTGTAATATTTTGTAATTATACTCATGGCCTTGTGCCGTAAATAAAGTTTATTATTATTATTATTTTAGAACGTTAAAAATATTCAAGTGCATTTTAGAACATTAAACATAATTAAAAATCTTTTTAGGAGTAGGGGAAACCATATTTAGGATTTTTCAAGCAACTATTTTATAAAATGACTAATTCCACTTAAATTTGGCCGCCATCCAAAACCAATAAACACCAATTTTTCACTAACAACGAGTCGTTCAATTTATTTGTTTTGATTTTTACCACGACCGCTAACTCGATTTTTCATTGTAACGAAGACGGAATTCGATTGTTGACGCAATTAAATTGAAGCGAAGCCAAAAATAAAATTTTGTTTTCATTCACAAATCCGCTCGATTATAACAGACAATTATCGCTTTAATATGCCAGAAAATTGGATTTTATAAATATATTTGGATATTAATAAAATATACCGCGAGTTTGGTGTATTTTTGGAAACGTATTCTGTCAACACGTTTGTTTTAAAAACAAAAACTTTTATCTCCACGCGGTCTATAATTTAAACTTTATTGTTGTCAACATTCGATAAAGAAATACCTTGTTATGGCCTAGGCCGATAAAAATTTTTATGAGGCAAGTAATTAGTTCGATTTTTTCTCGCTAGGGGTATTGTTTTGACAAATTAATCCTTTTATAAGAAATTAACGTACTAAACTTGTTTAATTTATTTGTAATAAGCACTAATTTGTTTGTTTTACTGTTAATGTTTAATATTTTTACTGTTAATGTTTAGTATTTTTCATTAATTATTGTAAAATTAAATATGAATAATATAACAAAAAGTGAGGTTAGGCAACTAAGAAAACGCACGATTCTTTTCTACGATTTAAATTATCTTTAAGTTTTAATTTGCTTTAAGTTTTCAGTGAAATTAAATGTTAAACACAGCTTAAACCATCCAAACTACCTATTTTTTAAATAAAAATCCAAAAAATTGAAATTAGATACCTACCTATTTATTAAACAATTAATTGAATTCAATGTAATAGCAAAAATCCATTTCTACTTAAATGTGTAGCTAGGTATTGTCAAACTATTACTGCTTCTAAAAGCAATAATAATTATTGTACATTTAATGTAATCTTTAGCTAATAAATAAATGAGATTCTACAAAAGTGAGGTTAGGCCGCTTTGATGTTGAATTAAATTGACCCATATAAAGTGCTTTGAAGATAAAATGTTGTATGCCATTGGGCCAAGAAGTGCCTTTTTGTGCTTCGCTCAATTGTAGGCCTCCGCTACGCGTCGGCCTTCAAACCTTGAGCTTAGCACAAAAAGACTTACTTCTTAACCTAATGACATAAATAACTATTTCGTTATAATAATTCTTATTTTTGTTGTTATTTTTAGAGCCGAAAAAAGATAAGACTGACGGGGCGCCTCAGAATGGCGCTCTATCTCCGAACGGAGAGACCCCGATGCACGTGGGGCCGTTCCCGGGTGGCGGCGGTATGGACGCGCCTAACGGCAAGCCGGAGCGGCCCAATTCGTTGCAGGGGCACGGCAAGATCACCAGACGGCTGCTCTGCTATCACAGCGAACACTGTGAGTATAATTTTTAGTGCACCACTACGAGTCCGAGCTCCGTATCCGTGTCTTCGGGCAACTTTCGTAAATATTCTTAGGAATGTAGAAACACATTTTAGAATGTTAAAAACATATTTAAAAATGTCCACAAAAATTTAGAATGTAAAATCATATTTAATAATGTCAAAAATAAAAATAAATTTATATAAATTTTAGAATGTTAAACCAACAAACCATTTTAGAAGGTTACTAATACATTGAAGAATTTCAAAATAATTATGAATGTTAAAAACATTTTAAGAAAAAGTCTCTTATTTGTTAAACCAAGAAAAATATTTTTAAAAATAAGAAATTTACGTAAGATTATTAAAAACGTATTTAGAATGTTAAGAACATTCTTAGGAATGTAGAAACACATTTTAGAATGTTAAAAACATATTTAAGAATATACATAAAAATATACAATATAAAATCATATTTAAGAATGTCAATGTTAAAAACATTCTTAGGAATGTAGAAAGACATTTTAGAATGTTAAAAATATTTATTAAAATGTCCACAAAAATTAGGAATGTTAAAAAACATTTATAAGAAAGTATATTATTTGTCAAACTAAGACAAATATTTTTTAGAATGGCAAATTTACTTGAGAATATTAAAAACGTATTTAGAATGTTAAAAACATTCTTAGCAATGTAGACACACATTTTAGAATGTTAAAAGCATATTTAAAGATGTCCACAAAAATTTTGAATGTAAAATCATATTTAGTAATGTCAAAAACAAAATTTAGAATGTTAAAAACTTAAATGGCAACATTCCATTTTAGAATGTTATCAATATATTTAAAAATTTCAAAATTATTAGGAATATTAAAAAACATTTTAAGTCTATTACTTATTTGTTAAACCAAAAAATATTTTTAAGAATAAGAAATTTAATTGAGAATATTAAAAACGTTAATATTGTTAAAAACATTCTTGAGAATGTAGAAACATATTTTATAATGTTAAATCATATTTAATAATATCAAAAACAAAATTTAGAATGTTAAAAACAAATGGCAACATCCCTTATTAGAAGGTTACCAATGCATTTAAGAATTTCAAAAAATTACAAGTATTAAAAAACATTTTAAGAGAAAGTATATTATTTTTTAAACCACGACAAATATTTTTAAGAATGACAAATTTATCTGAGAGTATTAAAAACGTATTTAGAATCTTAAAAACATTCTTAGGACTGTATAAACACAATTTAGAATGTTAAAAACATATTTAAAAATTTCCACAAAAATTTAGAATGTAAAATCATATTTAATAATGTCAAAAACAAAATTTAGAATGTTAAAAACTTAAATGGCAACATACCATTTTAGAAGGTTACCAATACCTACATTGAAGAATTTCAAAATAATTAGCAATGTTAAAAACATTGTAAGAAAAAGTCTATTATTTGTCAAAACAGGAAAAATATTTTTAAAAATAAGAAATTTACTTGAGAATATTAAAAACGTATTTAGAATGTTAAGTACATTCTTAGGAATTGTAGAAACACATTTTAGAATGTTAAAATCAAATTTAAGAATATCCATACAAATTTAGAATGTAAAATCATATTTAAGAATGTCAAAAAAATAGAATGGCAACATTCCATTTTAGAAGGTTACCATTACATTTAAGAATTTAAAAATAATTAGGAATGTTAAAAAACATTTTAAGGGAAAGTCTTATTTATTTGTCAAACCAAAAAAAATATTTTTAAGAATAAGAAATTTACTTGAGAATATTAAAAACGTATTTAGAATGTTAAAAACATTCTTGAGAATGTAGAAATACATTTTAGAATGTTAAAAACATAAAAATTTAGAATGTAATTATATTTAAGAATGTAATTATATTTAAGAGAATTTTAAATGTCAACATCCCATTTTAGAAGGTTACGAAAACATTTAGGAATTTCAAAATAATAAGAAATGTTAAAGAACATTTTAATATAAAAAAGTCTGTTTGTCAAACTAAGAAAAAATACTTTTAAAAATGACAAATTTACTTAGAATATCAAAAATGTATGCAGAATGTTAAAAACATTCTTAAGAATGTAGTCAAAAGTATATTTTATAATGTGTTTTTCTTCAACCGAAAATACTGCTTTTTGACGACTTTCTCGTTCCATGTTACATAAATATGCATAATTTTATTAAATCTTAGGAGAAAAAACGAGGGTTCAACCACCCAAAGGGAAAACGTCCAGGGATTCCCATGTATTCCTATTATATTATATTTTATTGTATTCCTATATATTTCCATTGTATTCCTCTGGTATTTCCCCTCTAAAATGTCCAGGGATTCCCAGGTGTGGGTGACCCCTTGAGAAAAAAATATAATCATAATGTGAAAAAACTGTGTCATCTTTGGTTTGTTATTTTTTTAATAAGCAATCTTTTTTGTATTTGCCAGTTCGCTTTAGTTTATTCGCACGAAAAGATTCTTGTTTTTTGTTCTTTACAACTTCATGAAAAGTTTTAGCAATTTGTGATTTTAACAATGGGATATTTCTACAGATGCTCAAAAGTTTAGAAACTTTTTCCTATTAATATTAAATATTGTTTAATTTACTCCTATTGCATAATACGTATTGGTTTTTTTCGTAAAGAATGATAAACATTATAAATTCCCTGCCTAAAACTGGAATAATGAACTCATTATTTACGTTGTTAGGCATCAGTATTTGGTCGATTCACTGTGATTTTAACTAATCGGGTTTTAAATTGGGAGAATGCAACTATAATAACATTTATGCACGATGACATTATAATATGACAATTATAACAAAAATTCTTTGACGTAAACGTCTTTTTATAGCCCGCGGGCGTTATTATGACCCAGCGGGCTATAATGAAACGTCAAAAATTAAAAACAACAATGTTACACCATTTGATATATTCGAAGTAAGTTTTTTCGTATAAAGATTTTGATTTTTCCGGAAGCAGGCCGCAATTTTTCGCCTTTTCAGCTGCTTCCTCAATTTCATTCATCTTTAAACTTTAAAACTGACTGATGTCAGTTGACATTATAATATGACAATTATAACAAAAATTCTTTGACGTAAACGTCTTTAAAAACAATAATATATTAAAAATAATAATATATTAATCGTGCATAAAGTTTTGTATGTATTGCTGGCATAACTGGTTTTTATGGTCCTACGACGCTTTTCTAGCCCTCGCGCTAACGCGCTCGGGCTCGAAATAGCGCCTCGGACCATAAAAACCTTATTATGCCCTTAATACATAAATAACTATTAAAAATGGTAAAAAGTAAGGTTGACAGATGTCAGATTTTATTTATTTATTTTTGTTATAATAATTATTACAAATAATATTTAATTCTAGTTTCTTTTGAATACTGAATACTAACACAGTAATTTAATAAGTAAACTATGTACCTGTAAATTGTACAGCATAATTGGAAATAATCTCAAGCTCTCAAGCACAAATAAATTTTCTACTCCATTACTTAATGAACAGTCCTGGGAATCGCCCTTGGCAGAAAAGTTTTATTCGAAACCTAAATGCTATAATTCTGTAAAGATTACTTCATACTGTACATTAAAATGTGCCGAAGAAACTTTCCCGTTCTAAAAGAACACCAAAAATCAAATTTTGTATACAATAGACTTCCCTCGTCTTAATTTCGACCAATCACAAACGCGCAATTTTGAATTAAAAATGGTTTCTAGGTGGAAAAACTGTATGACAGCACCTGTCAGCAGTTTATTCGAGTTTACCCGCGGCAAAACTTGACAGCTGTTGTCAACAAAAATTGCAATTTATATTTTAATTGTTTACTGTTACTCATGAAATAGTCTTGTCAAATACCATTCGGGCATCTAATTTTTCCTGTGAAAAAAATCGAAAAAACACAATGCTAAGTAATATTTTTTAACAAAATGCATTCGTGCAGGTGCAAAAATCCTCCTCTTCGACTCGGATTTTTGTTGCCACCAGCACTCATGCTTTTTGTTAAAATATTACTTAGCAACGTGTTTTTTCGATTTTTTTCGGAAAAATTAAATGCCCTTATGATATTACTTACGATAAATACCAACAGTTTGATTTTATTTGATTCCTCCGAATTCGGAGATAGCACACAAAGTCTTGAAGATGTCTTTTGTATGTCTGTATTAGGACTGAACGTCTGAAGATCTAAAAAAGACGTTTGAAAGACGTCTTTTGATAGACGTCTTAAAGATATCTTCATTTAATGTTCCAAAGACATCTTATCAATGCCTTATACCGCCGTTAATTTTTTTTTTAATTTTTTGATAAAATAGTGAATTTTGACAAGTAAGATATAATTAGGTACCATCTTATTTTGGTTTAATTGAAACAATATTAATGCAGGATTTTAAGTTTTGACAACGATGATATTTAGGGTAACTGAATAAATATATATCTGACATTCTTGTAGACTGGTTATTTTTTCTGCAATTAATAATATCCATTTGTAATAAAAACATTATTAGCTACCACAAAGTAGACTATGTGTTCTACTCTGTGTTAGCTACATTTTAATTAGGTACTTAATACCTTAAAAACGTTTTGGCGATGTAGCAATGCATAACCAAGACTTTTTCAATAGGTAGTCTTTAACATCTTAAAGACGTCTTACTAACGTTTAGCAACGACTTAATAATGCCGTTAAAAGGACATCTTAAAGACGGTGTGTTTTGTAACATTAGATATCTTAAAGACGTCTTAAAGATGACTTGCTGAATAAATTTATATCTGACATTCTTGTAGATTGGTTATTTTTTCTGCAATTAATAATATACATTTGTAATAAAAACATTATTAGCTACCACAAAATAGACTCTGTGTTCTACTCTGTGTTAGCTACATTTTAATTACTTAATACCTTAAAAACGTTTTGACGATGTAGCAATGCATAACCAAGACTTTTTCAATAGGTAGTGTTTAACATCTTAAAGACGTCTTAACAACGTTTAGCAACGACTTAATAATGCCGTTAAAAGGACATCTTAAAGACGGTGTGTTTAGATATCTTAAAGACGTCTTAAAGATGACTTACTGAATAAATATATATCTGACATTCTTGAAGATTGGTTATTTTTTCTGCAATTAATAATATCCATTTGTAATAAAAACATTATTAGCTACCACGAGTAGACTCTGTGTTCTACTCTGTGTTAGCTACATTTTAATTACTTAATAACTTAAAAACGTTTTGGCGATGTAGCAATGCATAACCAAGACTTTTTCAATAGGTAGTCTTTAACATCTTAAAGACGTCTTAATAACGTTTAGCAACGACTTAATAATGCCGTTAAAAGGACATCTTAAAGACTGGGTGTTTTGTAACATTAGATATCTTAAAGACGTCTTAAAGATGACTTACTGAATAAATATATATCTGACATTCTTGTAGATTGGTTATTTTTTCTGCAATTAAATAATATCCATTTGTAATAAAAACATTATTAGCTACCACGGAGTAGACTCTGTGTTCTCCTCTGTGTTAGCTACATTTTAATTACTTAATACCTTAAAAACGTTTTGGCGATGTAGCAATGCATAACCAAGACTTTTTCAATAGGTAGTCTTTAACATCTTAAAGACGTCTTAATAACGTTTAGCAGCGACTTAATAATGCCGTTAAAAAGACATTTTAAAGACGGTGTGTTTTGTAACATTAGATATCTTAAAGACGTCTTAAAGATGACTTACTGAATAAATATATATCTGACATTCTTGTAGATTGGTTATTTTTTCTGCAATTAATAATATCCATTTGTAATAAAAACATTATTAGCTACCAGAGTAGTAGTGTTCTACTCTGTGTTAGCTACATTTTAATTACTTAATACCTTAAAAACGTTTTGGCGATGTAGCAATGCATAACCAAGACTTTTTTAATAGGTAGTCTTTAACATCTTAAAGACGTCTTAGCAACGTTTAGCAACGACTTAATAATGCCGTTAAAAGGACATCTTAAAGACGGTTTGTTTTGTAACATTAGATATCTTAAAGACGTCTTAAAGATGACACGTCGTAAACTGGACGTCTTATGGATGTCTTATGGATGTCATATGGATGTCATATGGATGTCATAAACGTCCGTTCGACATCTATATGACATCTATAAGATATCTTTAAGTATCTGATATTCTACCTGTTGCAGTCGCAGACGGCAGCGGCGTGGCCGTGCAGCAGGGGCCGCCCGGGTCGACGCCGCCCGCCACCGAGAAGCACCCGCACCACCACTACCAGCACTACCAGGGCGGCGGTCAGGGTCAGCCGCCGCACGGCGGCTACATGCTCTCCGAGCTGCCTGAGCCGCCGATACCGGTCAGCGAGATCGGCCCCATACCGCCGCCGCCCATGTTCAGCTCGCCGTCGCCGCTCCCCAGGCGGCAGCAGTCGCCCATGCCCATGCAGAACCAGATGGGAGACTACGATTACGAAGGTGAGATTTGGCACTTTTTTGCATTTAAATAAAATAATATTAACACAATTTTTAGTATTATAATAAAATATATTATTTCATGAAATATTTTAAAAAATTCAGACAATTTTAATTTTTTACAGTTAAATAACATAAAAAAGTTTATTGGCAATTTTTTTAAATGCTAAACAAATATTTGAAATATCCTAAATTTATGTAAAAAACACAAAGAACTGGTGTGTAAACTTATTTTTAACATTTTGATAAAATTTTAATTATGAAAATTGTAGAGAATTGGGAATTTTGCAAATTTTAAGAATTTTGTATATTTTTTAATTTTTTTATATAAAAAGCGAATAAATTGGTGTGTGTGTGTGTGTTTATTTTGAATATTTAGAAAAATTTAACAAAACAAAAAACTGGTGTGTGTGGTTATTTTGAACATTTTTAAATAAAATTAAAATTATGAAAATTTTCTATTTAGAATTTTTTTATGAATTTTACAAATTTAAGAAAAATTGTAGCTGTTATTTAAAAAAAAATTGAAATTATGTACATTTTAGAGATTTTCAAAATTTTGGTAATTTAGCAAATTTTAAAAATTTCGGAAATTTTCAAAAAAAATTGTAAAAAATACAAATGCAATTGTTACAAATTTTGGAAAAATTATAGGTTTTATTTTTGAAAAAAAAATTGAAATTATGTACAATTTACAGATTTTTTTTTTGTGAATTTTCCAAGTTTGGCAAATTTTGGAAAAATTGTAGGTGCTTAATTTTTGAAAAAAAAATAAAATTATGGAAATTTTGGAGATTTTCAAAATTTTAGAAATTTTACAGTTAAATAACAAATAACAAATATTTTAAAAATCTTTTATGAAATATTCTAAATTTATGTAAGAAAACACAACAAACTTATTTTGAACATTTTGATAAAAATTAAATTATGAAAATTGTAGAGATTTTGTAAATTTTAAAAATTTGCCAATTTAAAGAATTTCGGATATAGTTATTTTATAAGTTTTTTATCTAAAAAACATAGAAACTATTTTGTATTTTTCAAATTTTTATGAATTTTGCAATTTTTTTAAAAATTGTGCTTCATTTTTGAAAAAAAAAATTATAAAAATTTTGGAAATTTAGCAATTTTAAAAATTTTTGAAATTTTTAAATAAAATTTAAAAAGCACAAATATGAGGCGTGTATTTATTTTTTGCCAGTTTGCTTTAGTTTATTTGCACGAAAAGATTCTTGTTATTTCGGATATAGTTATTTTATAAGTTTTTTATCTAAAAAACATAGAAACTATTTTGTATTTTTCAAATTTTTATGAATTTTGCAATTTTTTTAAAAATTGTGCTTCATTTTTGAAAAAAAAAAATTATAAAAATTTTGGAAATTTAGCAATTTTAAAAATTTTTGAAATTTTTAAATAAAATTTAAAAAGCACAAATATGAGGCGTGTATTTATTTTGAACATACTTGAAACTAAAATTTTTTGCAAAATTTAAAATTTTGGAAATAAAAAAAATATTTGAACCTTTTGAAAAAAAAAATAAATTATGAAAATTTTAGAATATTTATAAATTTTAAAAATTTTGTGAATTATTCAAATTAAAAAAAAAACAAAAAAACTGGTGGGTGAACTTATTTGGAAGATTTGGAAAATTTAATTAAATTAAATAATTTAATTTAAATATTGTTTAACAAACCAAAAAAAACTGGTGCTGTGCATATTTTGAACATTTTGAAAGAAAATTAAAATTTTTAAACAATTTTATTAATTTTGCTAATGCTACAGATGCGTTTACTTTATTTAAAAACAAATTAAATGGAAATTTTAGAAAAAAAAATATACATAAATGTGTACTTATTTTGAAAAAATATATAAAAATTTTAGAGGTTTTATAACTTTTGATAATTTGAATATGAACTTTCTGAGCACAATTCCGAGCGGGCGGCACAAACCAACCCCGTCTGAGATACTTATAAAACCTTATTATTAAATGGTGATTAATAATAATAAGTTTTGGTAATTTCAAAATATTAGAAAACGAAGACGACGACGACTACGAGCCCGAGTACGACGACGACCCCACCTACGTGTACCGCATGCCGCAGCCGGACCCGAAAATCGACACCAGCCGCATAGACGAGATCCCGGCCAAGGAGCCCAAGTTCAACGCGAAACCCCTCAAATCGGCGCTGAAGAAGCGCGGCAGCGGCGGCAGCAGCGGCCCCGGCACCCCCACCCAGGAAAACCGCCCCCTGGGGGTTAGGCAGCAGGAGCACAACGCCAGCTTCAAGTAAGTCGTCCTTAATAATGTGTAATGATTTTTTTAAACAGTTCTTTGTCGAAGCAGCTATTTTTTAATTTTTAAACACCTTTTAACAACTTTTTCGTTTGAAAATGTTCCTGTGCGATTTTTTTCATCTACTATTGAAACTTTGATTTATTCTAACGATTTTGTTTTTTATTTCCACCAATAGAAGGCCACAATCAAGGCCTAGGATAAGAATATGGTAAATATATTTTCAAATGTATTCAATTTCATGTCATCGCCATTTTGACTGGTTTAACTATGTGACGTGACGTAATGTGATTTGTCGAAATACATTATTTTGTTTTGTTTCTTTGTTTCTTTGTTTTTTTTTCTACATGCTCTTTTTTTAATAATTTATATTATCTTCACACTTTTTCTTTTTCTCTACATCATTTTATTTCTTTTTTTTTCTTTTTCTGAGTTTACCAATCTTCTTAAACATTTTTTTCTACTCCCACGGGCTGAAGTTAGCCACAGGTTTTTAGTCACGGGTTGAAGTTAGTTTTAAGTTACTTGACAGTTGCCAAATGCCATACAAAAGTGCCTTTCTTGTAAAATAATAGCAAATGTGAAAATTATTTTATTACCTCAATACAAAAGTACAAAAGTATTAAATAGCTTATTGTCGTTAATATTTGATTTTGCCCTAGTAGATTTAACTTATAGAGCGTTAAAAATTTTGCGTACAGTCCCCATAAAACATTACTGTGAAAAACTGCTTCTATATCGATTGTTAGTCTATTTTTAAGTGATAAATTTTGTTTTACACAGAAAAATTTGAGATTTTAATGCCGGTAGATAAAAAAACAAACATTTAAAAAAAAAATTAAAACTGTAAAATTTAGAGATTTTTAAAATTTTGAAAATCTTTAAAAAAATTGTAAAAAACAAAATCGTGTACTTATTTTAAACATTTTCTAAAATATTTGGAATTATTTTGCAAATTTTAGAAATTTTTGTAATTAAAAAAAAATAATGGATAAGATTTTTATCATTTGGAAAAAAATGTGCAAATTATGCAAATTTAAAAAAAATAAAAAAAACTGGTGGGTGAACTATGTAAATTTGAACATTTTGAAAAAAATTTAAAATTATGAAAATTATTTTTTAGATTTTAAAATTTTTTAAAAATTGGGAATATTAAAAATTTAAAAAAAAATTATTTAACAAGAAAAAAACTGGTGCAAGTGCTTATTTTGAAAATTTTGAAATAAAATTATAAAAATTTTGTATTTTTCAAAATTTTATGAATTTTGCAAATATTACAAATTTAAAAAAAAATTGTAGGTGTTTACTTTATTTTTGAAAAAAATTAAAATTATGTTAATTTTAGAGATTATCAAAATTTTGGGAATTTAGCAAATTTTAAAAATTTCGGAAATTTTGAACACTTTGTAAAATATTTAAAATTAAACATTCTCTTCTTTTTTACTGTGAAAAACTGCTTTTATATCGATTGTTAGTTAATTTTCAAGGGATAAATTTTGATTTACGCAGAAAAATTTGAGATTTTAACGCCGATAGATTCCCAAGTCAATTTTTGTACCTTTAACATTTCCCATGTAAAAATTTTTCATACTTTGTGATAATATTTTGCAATTCGGTATAGTAATACAAAAAAATCAAAGGATAACATATTTTATTATTATATTTTGAAGTTTAATTAAAATAATAAAGGGCTATGTTAATGGTGAAAATTACCTCAAAAATGTTTATTGGGATGTTTTTTACCATAAGTTTAAGACACTCTGTAGAGTGGCAAAACCTTATATTGTTCTAAATTAAGTTTTAATTATCAAGTCAGATCTATTTTTAACAGTTTTGTTTTTGGTTCACCTTGATATATTTATTTTTGTGGAAAATATGGACTTTTTTAAAAAAACATTGCAATTTCCAATATTTTTCCTGTATGAAGAACTAAGGTTGCTATGGTCCATCCATGGCCTACGGAGGATGACAGTGACAATTTTGTTGAATCATCCCATACTTGGACATGTCATATACAGCTTTCAAAAGCTATCAAATTGTTTTTTGTAAATTAATGTGTTAATTTTGAGGTGTCTTCTCACTTTTAAAAATGTCTCCGACTGATGTTGCCTTTTGTACTTTACTTCTTGTGACGTTTAAAACACTTGCCACGTAATACTGTGACCGTCCATCCTGGATTAAATTAATGGCTCTGGCAACATCAGTCGGAGACATATGCATTTTTTAAAGTAAGAAGACACCTCAAAATTTAAACATTAATTTTCAAAAATTAATTTGATAGCTTTTAAATGCCGTGTATGACATGTCCAAGTAAGAGATGATTCAACAAAAATGTCACTGTCATTCTTCATAGCCTATGGATGGACCATAGCAACATACAGAAAAATATTGGAAATTGCAATGTTTTCTTAAAAAATCTATATTTTCCACAACAATAAATATATCGAGGTGAACCAAAAACAAAACTGTTAAGAATAGATGTGACTTGATAAATAAAACTTAATTTAGAACAATATACGGTTTTGCCACTCTACAGAGTGTCTTAAACTTATGGTAAAAACATATTTTTGTTCAAACCTGTATATTATAAACGTACGTCAATTTTTTAGTAATTTTTTAAAATGTGAGCGATTGTCCATTAATTTATCCACAATATTCTTTAATATTCGTTTAAATTCGACATCGAATAAAAAAGTTATTTGCGATTGAAATTCATCGAAAATTTGTGTGGATCGATTATTTTGCCTGTGAGTGTATTATGATTTAAGGCATTAAAGTAAACAATTAATTATTTTGACAAGTTTATTTGTATTTATAGTAATAGTTCCAAAAAGACGCAATTATAAATAAAATACTGTACTGTACTAATGTGCATTTCCCATGTATTTAACACTATTTTTATGTATACTAGGTCTCCCTGAAACGTTTTTTACCCAAAGTTATTTAATAAAATCATCTTTAACACTCTGTGTCTTTGTATAGAAGTAAATTTAGTTCGGTTTTATGATTTTGTACAGACGTTTCAGGGAGAACCTGTGTTAGTAAAGGCGTCATATCTTCTTTTAAAGAAGACACTCTACTTTTTTCAGCACAAAGCAGACCAAATTCGTAGGCATATCATGCACCAAGGAAAACAAGGAAAACGCCCGGCCGTACGTTATACAAGAGGACGGCAGCGACGACGAGGATGGGCCCATACAATACAGGTATTTAGCCACCCATTTATCACGCCACTCGAAAAAATTAACCACGGTGCTGTTCTGAAAGGCGATTTTTGGACTTTCTGTGAAACCTAATTTTTTTTATATTCTTGTTAATTAGGTCATAACTAAAATTTTAAGAGCAAAATAAAAAAAATTTGACGGATTGTTTATTAAAAATATTATGCACTCTTTCAATTATCCAATTAAAACTAGCGATTTAATTTAAATATTTAATATTTGCATAACTAAAAAAAAGGTTTTTACAATTTTTTTTTATATATTTTACTGTTTTGTTGCAATAAACGTTCAAACTTTTAATCTAACCTTTGACGTATACATTTATGTTCCCTTAATTTATATATCCTTAAAGGTTGCCATGAAACTTACTTAGATCTATTAAAAATTTACTTGACGTTTGAATTGTCATTTTCAGTATACGTATTCTATAATTTTTGTTTAGTTTTTTAAAGTGTTTTTTATAAACAAAAATGAAAAATTGTAGTAAAAGTTACGAATAAATTCATGAAATTTAACTAAGGACCGGTTTATTCATCTTTAGTAAAGTTTATCGGGCCGATAACTTTCATGTCTTGGCAATATCTAGTATCCAAAGAAATTATTCGTCAAATAAATTAAAAATGAATAAATCGGCCCTAAATAAAATGTGGCACCCTTAGAATTATTGTTTAATAAATGTATACTATACATTTAACCTTAAATTATAACTTTAAACGTGTATTACAACAAAACAGTAAAAGATATAAAAAATGTATAGATTTTTTTTTTAGGAAATTAACTAATCTTTAATCTGATTTAAAAAGTTATGATAATATTTACATAAATAAAATCGCAAGTTTTAATTGGAGAATTGAAAGAGTGCATAATATTTTTAATAAACATCCAATTAAAACAAAATTAACCGTCAATTTTTTTTTATTTTGCTCTTAAAATTTTAGTTAGGACCTAATTAACAAGAATATAAAAAATTAGGTTTCACAGAAAGTCCAAAAATCACCTCTCAGAACATTTCTCACGCCACAAATTTAACCTTATTTCCATCGCAGAGACGAAATTTCTCAGGAGCAGAAGCTGGCGCTGACGGCTGCGCGCAAGGAGAGCCTCAACTTGAAGCTGTCGCTGCGGCCGGACCGGCAAGAGTTGATAAACAGGAACATACTGCAGATGCAGTCGGAGAACGAGATCAAGGAGAGCCGCGAGGCGATCGGCGCCAGGTTGATCAGGAGGTTGAGCATGCGGCCCACGCAGGAGGAGCTCGAGGACAGGAACATCCTGAAAAGTAAGTCAACGCTGGGTTTTTGAATTTGGGATTTTTTGGTGGAGGCTAGCGTCCATGATTTTTCTAATCTTTTTTATCAACCATTCAAGAGTTGCAAGCTTTTGGAAAAATTGGATTGGATTGTTTTTTTTTTCATTTTGCATGTTTTGTAATTTTTTGTACTCTTTTTATAATTTAGCATTTTTAATAGTTTTCTATCAATCTTTTCGGTTTTCTAAATTCTTACAAAATCCACTATTTTTTGAACATTTTAAAAATAAAGAATTATAAGGTTTTTTTAATTTTCAGTTATTTCATTAATTTTATATATATTTTTATAAATAGGTAACAATGCAACAATAATCTACCCAAAAATTATAAAAAATGGTTTTGTTATTATTATCTTTCTTTCAAGATTTCACAAATACATCAAATATCTTGAAAAGTAAGTCAATGCTGGGTTTTTAAATTTGGGATTTTTTGGCTGAGGCTAGCCTCCATGATTCTTCTAATTTTTTTTATCAAGCCATTTAAGAGATAGAATTTTTTGGAACAAATTTTATTGGATTGGTTTTTTTTAATTTAGCATGTTTTGTAATTTTTTGTACTCTTCATAATTTACCATTTTTAATAGTTTTTTATCAACTTTTCAGTTTTCTGAATACTTTCAAAATTCACTAATTTTAAACATTTTAAAAATAAAGATTTTTTTATGGAATTATATTTAAGGTTTTTTTAATTTTCAGTTCTTTCATTAATTTTTATACTTTTTTATAAATAGGTGACAATGCAACAATAATCCACCCAAAAATTATAAAAAATTGCAAAATAATTTCACTATTATTATATTTCTTTCAAGATTTCACAAATACATAAAATATCCTTAAAAGTAAGTCAATGCTGGGTTTTTAAATTAGGGATTTTTTGGCTGAGGCTAGCCTCCATGATTCTTCTAATTTTTTTATCTAGCCATTCAAGAGATGCAAGTTTTTGGAACAATTTGGATTGGATTGTTTTTTTAATTTTGCATGTTTTGTATTTTTTTTTTACTCTTCATAATTTACCATTTTAATAGTTTTTTATCAATCTTCGGTTTTCTGAATTCTTTTAAAATTCAAATTTTTAAAAATTTTAAAAATAAGGAATTTTGTATGAAATTATATTTAAGTTTTTATTAATTCTCAGTTCTTTCATTAATTTTATATATTTTTTTATAAATAGGTGACAATGCAACAATAATCCACCTAAAAATTATAAAAAATTGAGCAAGTCAAACTGGGTTTTTAAATTTGGGATTTTTTGGCTGAGGCTAGCCTCCATTATTTTTCTAGTTTTTTTTATCAAGAGATGAAAGTTTTTGGAACAAATTGGATTGGATTGTTTTTTTTTAATTTTGCGTGTTTTGTAATTTTTTGTACTCTTCATAATTTACCATTTTTAATAGTTTGTTTTATGGAATTATATTTAAGGTTTTTTAATGTTCAGTTCTTTCATTAATTTTATATATTTTTTTATAAATAGGTAACAATGCAACAATAATCCACCAAAAAAATTATAAAAAAATGCAAAATGGTTTCGTTATTATTATATTTCTTTCAAGATTTCACAAATACATAAAAATACAAAAGGAACATTTATTTTTTGTCACCTAAGCAAAATATTGATGAACATAACAAATAAAAAAATTTTTTCTTAAAGTTTCAAGTTTTTCCTTTGAAATAACATTAGAGTTTTTTTACAATAAAATATTTATGGAAAATTCAATTTTCTATAAAAATTCTGCAATAAAATGTACAAATTAAAAGACATAGAGCATTTAATAAATTGTACTGTCAAATATTGATAAATTAATTAGTCCTATGTTGTTGGCGAAACGGTTACAGATAAAAAGTAAATAATATCATTCAAGAAAATTCAACTTTTTACAAAAAAAGTTTTATGCATTAATGCAATAAAAGGCATATTATAAAAGATATATTTACATTTAATAAATTGTACTCTCAAAAATTGATATACCAATTAGTCCAATGTTGTTTTACGGAAAAACAGTTAAATGTACAGGTAAAGAATAAAAAACACTTTTATGGGAAATTTAATTTCCTACAAAAATAGTTTTATGCACAAATGCAATAAAATGTATAGTTTAGAAGATATAGAGCATTTAATAAATTTTACTGTCAACTATTGATGAAGTAATTAGTTTTATCGAAATTTGACAGTTAAATGCCTTATATCTTTTAAACTTTGCATTTTATTTTATGAATATTTTTATAGGAAATACCGCCAAACTATAGGAAATTGAAAAAAAATCCACAATTTCTTGTTATTTCAATGGGAAATCTTTAAAATCAAAATAAAAGTACTAAGAAGCACAATCTACACAACAAGGTCTGTTCTATCTCATGCTAAAAATACTAAAAATCACTGCAACACTGCACAGAGTTTAACGGCGGCCATTTTTGTTGTTTGCAATTCTTGTGCTTTGGGTTTGTGCTGTCTAATAATTGTTTTAAACGTTGTATTTCTTACAGAGGCCCTTGTAAGCCTCAAATAAGGCCTTTAAGTGCTAAGGACAACCATTTTACTCCTCTTTTATAAAAAATACTATTTTAAGGCTTACTATGAGAAACACAACGTCTAAGACGATTATTAATCTGTATAAACAGAGCACAAACCCAAAGCACAAAAATTGTAAACAACAAAAATGGCCGCCGTTAAACTGAGCAGTGTTGCAGTGATTTTTAGTACGAGATAGAACAGACCTTGTTGTGTGGATTGTGCTAAGGAGCAATATTAAGGGCTGAAACTTTAGGGCATTTTTTCTTCGATTTGTACATCGATATTTTGCTTGAGGAGAGATAAAAAATAAATCCAAACATAAATGTTTATTTTGAAAAACATGAGAGATGCAAAATGGAAATGTTTGACTTATGGTGGTTGTGGTCGTTTTAGAGCAAAGCCCCGCCGAGGAGAAAAAGCAGAAGGAGGAGAAGAAGCGCTACCTGCTGCGCAAGCTGAGCTTCCGGCCGACGGTCGAGGAGCTGAAGGAGAAGAAGATCATCCGGTTCAACGATTACATCGAGGTGACGCAGGCGCACGACTACGACCGTAGGGCGGACAAGCCGTGGACGAGGCTCACGCCCAGAGACAAGGCGGCCATCCGCAAGGAACTCAACGAGTTCAAGAGCTCCGAGATGGCCGTGCACGAGGACAGTCGACACTTGACCAGGTAACGCCACAACTTCACATTTTTTACACACTCTTTTTCCTTCTTCTACCAGGTACATAAATGTTCCCAGAAAGTTATAGGAAAATTTAAACATTTTCTTCAATTATAATTTTTATAAAATAATAACATAATGGTGGTATTCTTATTTCAGGAATTTTAGTAAATAGAAAGTTTGACATAAAACACGTACGATTTTAGTTTTAAATTCCATATAATTTGTTTCCAAATTTACGATTTTTTCCACAGCTCTTCGTAATTCTAACTATTCCTAATTGAACATGCTTTTTGCTATTTCAGTTTATAGTCAAAACGTACGAAATTTCGCTCCAGCCTCTGTGGTACAAGAAATTCTTATATATTTAAGTTTTTTTTTTAAATGACTTTTTTTAAATACCCATGATTTTTTAAAAACTCTAAATGGGACGTTTTTTTTTTAATTTTTGATTTTTATCTTTGCAGAATAAAATACATAAAAAATGTCAAGTTTTAAACAATTTTTAAGTTTTATAAGATAAAAATTTTTAGTTCTTCTTATGAAAAAAAAAATAAAAAATGGCGAAACAAAAAAATATGTTTTACTCAATAATTTCGTAGATTTTTAGATCAAAATATTTAAAAAAACGTCAAATTTAGTCAATTTTTAAAAAGGTTTTTGGATATTTAAAACCTTTTGATTTGGCAGATTTTTTTTAAATATTTTTCTATCCCACAAATTGTTTTTTGGAATTTTTCAATTTTTTTTACAATACCATAAAAGTTAAAATTTTTCAAAAATTACTTTTTTAAAAATTACCAAATGGAACGTTTTTTATATTTTTTTGATTTTGTACTTTTCATAAGAAAATGCATAAAAAATTTTCGATGTTTTATACATTTTTTTAGTTTTTTTAAGAAAAACAAAGTTTTTACAAGAAAATAAACTATTGGAAAAAAATTCTAAAAATTATTATTATTCGCAGAATTAATCTAAGTTTTTCTTATGAAAAAAAAATATGAATATCAAACTAAAAAAATCTCAAAAAACTGTAAATTTCATAGATTTCGACTTCAAAAAATTTGTTTGTATTTTTTCTGAATATACATAAAAAACAAAATAAAAAAAATTCCAATGGGGTAGTTAAATTTTTTCTGACCTATACTTTTTATGGTTTTATTCAAGGCGTTTTGTAATATTAAACATTTCTGTGAAATCAGAATTTCATTTAAGTTTACCGTTTTCGAGATATTTACAAAAAATATAAATTTTTATGACGTCACAAACCCCGCCATGTGACCAACATTCTAAGATTTCTATTGGTTGAAAATTACCCTGTTGTCAAGTTGTCTTGTCAATGATTTCATTCGGGTATGTCAGAAAATACCCGAAGAGGTTATGTACAAATACTGTCACTGTCAGTTGAGTGAAAGAAGAAGAAGAGAAGGTTAAAGAAAATTCTGAAATTAAAAGTTTTATTGATAGGTTTACACATTGAAACACCGTGTGAAACCTAATAAAATGTAATAAATAGGTACCTAATAACTGTCTAAAGCAGAGTTTAATATATTTCATAGAAAAAAGTGGCAAAATAAAGCTGAAAATAAATGAAATAAATTTACAAAAAATAATAATATATCTAAAAGAATATAAAGAACTAGGCATTATACTAATGAAATGCATTTACGACAAAATATGATTATAATTATAGGTACTTACTTTTTTGTTTAAAAGCTCCAATGTTCAATGTAACCAACCATTCCACAAGATTTCTCTGCTTTGGAGTCCGTTATTAATAAATCACTTATCTAATATCAATTACAAATAACATAACAATAACATTGATTTTCAATAATCTAAATTTAAAAAAAAACAACCCGAAAAAAAGAAACGTCAAAAAATCAATTCTTCTTCTTCTTCTCAACTAAAATATTATAACGTGGCGCCATCTATCGTAAGAATCTTAAACTAAACACACTAGCAACCATAGAAAAAGCTGGCAACGTTGTCAATAGCTTAGTGACGTAATTAGGAGATTTTGTTTTGTAAATATCTCGAAAACGGTAAACTCAATTGAAATTCCGATTTCACAGAAATGTTTAAAATTACAAAACGCCTTGAATAAAACCATAAAAAGTATAGGTCAGAAAAAATTTAACTACCCCATTGGTCAATTTTTAAAAAAGTTATGGGTATTTAAAAAACATTTTTGGTTGGGTAAAAACAATTGAAAAAAATTCTTAAAAACAATATTAATGGAGTTAAACTTTTTCAAAAATGTCTTTTTTTAAATACCCAGTTTTTTTAAAAAAAATTTACCAAATGGGACGTTTTTTGGTATTTTTTATGATTTTGAACCTTTTAAGAAAAAAATAAATCAAGCATTTTCGACCTTTTATATAATTTTTTAGTTTTTTTAGAAAATAAGAAAATAAACGATTGATTAGAAAAAATTAAGAAAAAATTTTTAATTAAAAAAAATTGGAATTCGCAGAATTATTCGACATATTTGAACCTGACCCCTTTCAATTTGGCTGATATTTTTTACCACACTAAAATTTACTAACTGGGACGCTCTTTTATATATTTTTTAATTTTAAACTTTTTAGAAAAAAATAAATCAAAAATGTTTGATCTTTTATACAATTCTTTAATTGTTTTAGAAGTAAGAAAATAATCGATTGGAAAAAATTAAGAACACTAATTTTTGTTATGAAAAAAAATTAAAAATTGCAAACCTTAAAATATTAATGTTTTTTTATAGATTTTGATATCAAAAAATTTGTTTGTATTTTTTTCTGAAAAGTACATTAAAGAACAAAATATTTAAATAAAAACGTCTCAATTAGTCAATTTTTAAAAAAATTATAAGTATTAAAAAAAAGTAATTTTTTATGAAAAAACAACTTTTTTGGTTGGGTAAAAAACGACCACTTTTGAACCCGACCCCTTTTGATTTGACTGATTTTTTAAATATTTTTCTACCCCACTAAAATTGTTTCTCAGAATTTTTCAAACCAAAAAAGTTAACATTTTAAATACATCAAAAATTTTCGACAAGTTTTATACAATTTTTTTAAATAAATTTTCAATTAAAAAAATAATTAAAAGAGAAGTCTCTGAATTAATCGAAGTTTTTCTTATGAAAAAAAAAAATAATAAAAAAATGGCAAACCTTAAAATATTGATGCTTTTTCTCAACAAAAAATATTAAAAAAAAAATAGCTATTTTGTAACTCTTAACTCTTTTAGTGGGGTAGAAAAATATAAAAAAAAATTTAGTCATATCAAAGAATATTTTCCCACTTAAATATGTTATTATCATTTAAGATTGTTTGTGCTTTTGACATTTTTTATTATTTTTAACATAGTAATAATTTATTTTTACAAAAAATCTTATATGTATGTTTTATAGTTTTTTAATCTAATACAAATTGTTAACGCTAAAATTGCGTTTGTACTTGGCCGAGAAAAATAATATAAAATTAAAATTTTGTACAAAAAATAGGTTTCTTTGTTAATTTTTATGCATAACATTAATAGCTTTGGTTTTGTATTTAATCAAATTACATTAAATTAAATACACATTCCTAGCTGATTTTCTCTTATTGTTGCAGATTCCATAGGCCTTGACAATTGCAAGGCTTACTTGAAGAAAAGCTAAACACTGTGATGGCCGTAGCCGTAATTATCAACTTTCCCATAAAAATAATCGCTTAAAAATAAAAAATGTTTTGAGCTCCGGCGGTCGCACGCCGACCGCCACCGATGTGTAATTGTTTTTGTATATAAGTGATTTTTATTACACAAAGTTTTTATTATTATTATCTATTGATTGATTAATATGATTATTATATACATAGCGAATGAATTGTTTTCCGTTGGAAAAAATAATTAAAAAACAAACAACTGTATATAAAAAAGATACATCACTGTATTCTTGGAAGATGATCGGAATTTTTAGAGGTAATACGTGTTTTATCTGCGGACCAGACATTTTGGACCATTTAAAAAATATCAGTTACTAGAAAACAGTAACTTTTACTTTTTATCTTGGGGAGGTGCAATTATTTATAATAAAAAAAGTCCACTTTTTTTGGACTGTAAAATTGTTGAATAATAATGTAAATAGTATTGATACTTCAATATTGACTTTGTTGCTCAATAAAATGTGAAAAAAATCAACCAAAAAATTGTTAATTTTTTTGATACTCATTTTAAAATTAAAGGCAATATTGATTTATTATTTTTAGGAAATTTTAAACTAACTGACGCTCTAAAAATGCCGATTCGCTTCTATTTTAGAAATTTTTTACTTTCTATAATTTTAGTGACTGATCACTAATAATGTAATGTTTCACAATTTTATGTAGTTTTTAATGTTATTTTAACTTGTAATTATTCTTTGTAATTGTTGACCTACCCAGATCACAACTTATTTTATATAATTTATAATGTTTGTTTTATTTATCAGATGAAAAATAGATTGTTCATTTTAACATTTTCTTATTTAATAAACCTTACACTATGATTAAAACAGTATTAAAATTTTAAACAAAATAAAAATTCAAATGGATAATGTTAAGTGATATTTTTATTAAAAAGTCCTTTAGATGAAACCAAACTGCTGTAAATTAGAAGTCCCTAATATTAATAGCAAAAAAATATAGTTTATAATTGATTGGAGAGAAAATAATGATGGCACTCTCCAAAATATTATAAAGAGAATATTTTTTGGTAACTTTTATCCTATGGTAATAAATCGTTAGTAACAAATTTGAGCTTGTAAAAAATAGTTTCTCCTGCGCAAGTTACAAAATACATGTACACAAAAAATATTGTATCCATACTCAATCGATTTATACAAATTTTACTAAGAAGAAATGTCTTCCAAAATAAATGAGACATTGAAAAACTGTGTTATTTTTCGAAAAACTACCCTCAAGTTATAGATATTAAAAGGTAAGTAATTTTTTAAGTAAAACATGAGGAATCATATTGTATAATGGTTAAGTGTGCGCAGGCCATTTGGAAATTTTATTTAATTTTTATTGTTTTTAAAACAATTTTTCAAAAATAAAAAGTTTTTTTAGGCTTTTGACGAAAACTATCAAAAAATATATTTGTCCACCACCTTAACTTCAGCTAGCTGTAGAGGCCTTGTTTTTGTTTCCATAATAACCGTTTTAAGAATTTTTAAAACATAAAAAAGATTATTGCTATTTTTGTATGCGTATACAAATAATATAAAAAATTTAAAAAAGAAAATTAAATTCAAATTTAAAATCGTTTTACCTTGAAAACAACTCGTCAAAAAATTATTTGTAGTTTTTTCCTACAGCAAGTTTAATTCAAGAAAAAAAATATGGCGCACTTTTAAACCACTTACCATACTATAAACGAAGTATACCTTTAATCACTGCGCACTCTTAGGACACTCGACCATATTCAAAAAGGATTTGGGGATTTTGAAATAAAATTCGTTTTTTTTTAATTAGCAAAGAGTTATATACACACTAAAAATATTAGTTCGTACTCAATCGATTTATAAAAATTTTACTTCTTCCAAAAAAGGTAAATAATTTTTTAATTAAAACATATGGTATGATGATAAAGTGTGCGCAGGCCATTTTTTTGATATTTAGTTAAATTTTCGTAATTTTAGTTTTTAAAACTCTACTTTAATTATAGAAATAAATAAATGCTGCGCACTATTAAACCACTTACCATACTATAAACAAACTACACCTTTAATCACTGCGCACTCTTATTACACTCGACCATATACAAAAGGATGAACACTAAAATTATTGTTTTATACTCGATTTAGTAATTTTTATTTAGTATATGGTAGGATGATAAAGGGTGCGCAGGCCATTTTTTGGAAATTGAATTAATTCATAATTTTAATGTTTTTAAAACTTTATTTATATAAAAAATATAAAACTATTTTACAAGAAATTGTTAATTTTTGGACGGAAATTTCAGAAAATAAATTTGTCCACCACGTTATCTTCAGCTAGCTGTAGACGCCTTGTTTTTATATTTACCGTTTTCAAAAATTAAATTTAAACTTAAAATTGTCAAAAAACTGTTTATAGTTTTTGCCTACAGCAAGTTTAATTTAAGAAAAAATAAATGCTGCGCACTCTTAAACCACTTACCATAATATAAACAAAGTAATCACTGCGCACTCTTAGGACACTTGACCATATTCAAAAAGGATTCGGGGATTTGAAATAAAATTATATATTTTTTGAATTAATGAAGCATATATTTCCATGTAGCAGGTACACTTAGATTTAAACTGTTATTTTAGTTCAGTAACCAGACTGACATTACAAGGTGTTGCATTTCGTCGAGCGAAAATGCACTGGTGAGGCTTCAAAAAATTTACGACTAACAAGTAGAATAAGAGAGTATAAGAAAAAAGTTAACGGTTTTCCTTAAAATACGTACGGTGTGTTTATTTAGACTAAAAAAATTTACAAAGCGTATAATATGTACAAATAGTAGAGTTCAGACATGCTGCTTTATCACATTCACTCGTTTATTTTAATAATTTTGCGAATACTGCTTATTGTATTGCTTATTGTGGAGATTCTGATTAATAATAAATGCTCAAATACGAGTACAGGTTCCAATTTAACAACAACAATTTAGTTAAGTACCTAAATCACAGTATAAGTAACAGTCAGTATGCTACTTATTTTAAAATGTAAGAAAACAATGTTTAATTTTTGATAATCTATGTATTTACAGAAAATTTACAGCCCGCTATATTTACAATTGGGTCTTTTTACATACTGAGTGTTATTTACAATATGTCGCAGGTATGGCACCAAAAATGATATGCAAATTACATATTTTTGTTACCTTCATCAATCGGGGATCAAATTAAAAACGCGCGCTACTTTGTAGCAAATATACAGGGTTTTTAATTTGCTACTCGAAAATCAGCCTTCATCTCTAGTGAGTATGTCGAGTTCTACCTGGTAGATAGTCTTAAAGTTATGGAATAATTTACAACATCTCAAATAAATAATTCGTTAGCATAATTATTAATTTCTTAAATGATATGAAGCAGAAATGCAGAATGCATTTTGCAAGTTTGCTCCTCATACAGGGGGGATGATAGTAGGCGCCAAAACAAGAAAGTTTTTGCATTTTATATATTTTTTTATATATAAAATCGGAAAGTATTCAGAAAAATTGTCTTATTTTAATTTTTTTTTCAAAGGGTAATACGAAACAATGCAAAAATCAATCTTTTATAAATTTCCAAAATTTTACTGATGACATTTGTACACTGATATTGAAATAAAAGTGATTTTTGACGCTGAATTTAATCATAATATTATGTTTATAATAATTATTTCTTTTATTTAAATTCAGTAAGAATATTCTACCGCTTCGCAAAAAAACATGTGTTGCTGTATTATGTATTATTAACATTACTTTGATTTGTAAAATTATAATTTTGTAATTTAACTTTATAAATCATTTATTATTTTGTGGATATTTCTAATTTTGCAAAAAAGACCCAACCGACAGAATATTTAACGTTTACGTTTATTTTCTTAAATCAATTTAATTTAATTGAATGTTTAGTTTAATTTTTTTTTAATAAAGGAGCTTTTTTTTAAATTAAAATAATGTGAAGTTGTTTTTGCTGCCTTTTTCAAAGGTGTTTATTTAAAAAAAAAACAATTTTTTGCACAGTGGAATAAATTTAAGAAATGGTAGGACAAATTCGCACAGTGGGCAAAATTTTAAAAATGAAAGGACAAATTCGCACTGTGGGATAAATTTAAAAAATGGTAGGACAAGTCGCACAGCGGGACAAAATTTAAAAAATGAGAGGACAAATACACACAGTTGGTCAAATTTAAGAAATGGTAGGAAAAATTCTCACTGTGGGATAAATTTAAAAAATGGAAGTACAAATTCGCACAGTGGGATAAATTTAAAAAAATAAAGGACAAATCGCACAGTGGGCAAAATTTCAAAAATAAAAGGACAAATTCGCACAGTGGGACAAATTAAAAAAATGGTAGGACAAATTCGCACAGTGGGACAAATTTTAAAAATTAAAGGACAAATGCGCAGTGGGCAAAATTTAAAAAATGAAAGGGCAAATTCGTACAGTGGGACAAATTTAAAAAATTGTAAAAATATCAATTATTTAAAACAAGACAATTTTTCCAAGGCGATAAAACAGTTTTTTTCCCCAATTTTTTCGTTTTTTTTTTCGACACTTTAAAACTTTAGTTAGTTGTTGTAGGTCATGAAGAACCAGTGGCGGCCCAAAATTTCCATTTTACTTATAAAAATTTTAATGCAAAAAACCTTATTTTGGTGCGTACTATCATCCCATTAAAGGACGACAACTGTATAGGTGCTATATTTTACAAAAATAAATAAACCGACCTATCTGACTGCATCGGATCCTAAAACTATCATTACTTGTTCTATTTAAATAAATACGACAGGTGTTGTCCGCATCCTCCTCCGTCTGTCTCAGTCTTCTTTGGTAAAAAAGGGTAACGTGGGACTCGAGCCCTGCGCGCGCGCTAAACCACCGAAATAACCGGACGTCCGGCCTCAAACGTGGCGGTTCTTCTTGTGCCTCAACTTCCGGCACTCCTGCGCCGAGCAGCAGAACTCGTTGTCGTCCATCGGCTCGTTCCGCCGCTTCTTGTTTCTCCACAAGGCGCACGTCTTCAAGTCGCAGGTTTTTCTCCTGCATTCTTGCCTGCCGTCCTGGCACTTGCACGTCACGCACTTGTAGTACCCGAGGGTGTCGATGAACGGGTGGAATTCGGAGTTGTTGGTGTACGGCTTGTCGGGTCGGTTAACATTCCTGCAACCTCCGTTCTCGAGGATTTTCTTCGCCTCCTCCATGTCTCTCCGCTCGAATTTCTCCTGCCTTTTGGCCGGCAAATCATCGTTTTGCTGCTCAGCCTCTTCCTGGTTCGCATTCGAACAACTCTTCTCGCTCAACCGCTGACACTTGATGTTCAACGTCGCAGGATCGCACGTGCACTCGGTGCATCTATCAAAACCATTTGGTATGAGGAAGGGGTTGAATTTGGCGCCGGCGGAGTAAGAAATCCCGTTCAAACTGCACTTGTTGGTGTTCTCGACGTACTCGGAGCAAACTGGACAGCACTCGCCCTCGACTTTGATCTTCTCGCCGCTGGGGCACTTCAAGTCCGGGCACGTCATCGTATCGCACTTGGCCAAGCCGTTCTGGCAGAAACACGTGACGCAAGAGTTTTTCAGCGACGTCCATTGCTTCTCTTCGTCGTAAAATTTTCCCTCGTAGAAGCACGTACCGGGCTGCGAAGCCATGATGGTTTGCTCTCCGTACGGACTCAAAGGTACGTTGTTGTCGGTGTAGAGCGGTCTGCATTGCGGCGGCACGTAAATTTGCTTTAAAGTCGTCGTCAGAAGGGTTTGATCGCTTTTGTAGTCCTTGATCTTCAAAATGCAGACCCCGCTGAACAATCTGACGGTTTCTTCGTTACTCAGCGCTTCAATCGGGGAGCCTTCATGCTGATTGCCGGTAAAGTTGCCCAGATTTTTGGCCAGAACTGGAGCACCAGGTGCTAACATCGGAAACATCTCCAACGTTAAGTTGAATTTTCTCTCGCTCATCTTCTCCAAGCCGCTCAAAGTGACGTCGTAGTGCAAATGGCAATCGCTATCGATGGAAACCCAAGCCAAACCAGTGGCGGACGCAGGGATACCGTCGTAATTCTCCCTCCTCAACAAGAAAGGCGCCGCGGAATCCCTGGCGTCATCAACGCTTTTGGAAACCAAACGCCCCTTCAGCAAGCTATTACTACTCTGCGTAGCTACATTTATATGCAGATTCCCGAGATGCAGAGGCGTCAAAACTTTGGTGCTGAGTTTATCCAAGGTACCGTTCGCCCAACCACCGTGGAAACTGGGCGTCAAGTTATCTATCTCCGTCTTCCTCTTGCTCGCGATATCCATGAGGGTGATGGAGAAAGGCGGGACGCTTTTGAAGTTGTCCAGCTGGATGCTGTACAGCAACGAACCCTCGTTGTCGAGGTACATCCAGGCCAAGCCGGAAGATCCGTTTTTGTTGGGCTCGTTCAGTCCAGAGGATAGAGTGGTTTGGAAGAGCTCGCACGCGATTTTGGTTTGGATGTGCCCGCTCAATCTCAGATCGTTCGGGTGCGACACCGAAGATACGGTGAGGAGAAGTCTGCCTCTACTCAATAACCTTAAATCTGGATGGGTGACGGATGAAATGGTGGTTTCCACGATGTTTAGTTCGGAGGAGGCTTTATCGACAGTGATAATCTGGAAAATAAGGAAATTTTTTTGTTATGTGTGGTTTTTATAAGTTTTCATTTCACCAAATATTAATAGGAAGCTCATTATCATTTTTTCTTTAAACCATATTTCATAATAATAACACTGATCTGCAACAAAATCCTTCTTCAAAAAATTACATAATAATGAAGGTTGTAATGCTTTAGATTTTTTAAATTCGTTGTATGCGTAAACATTATAAACAGTGTATATACATACAAAATAGGTTTTAGCGAGATGTAAGAGAAAAAAGGAAAGTACCTAAAGTGATTTTTATGGTAGTATTTTATGTATGTAAAACTTAAGCCCTAGTATTTTTTCACTTTTTTGTGATTGTTGCTACTTTAATAATATCGTTTTTTATTAAATGGCCATAATATTTAGAATCTATTTCTTTAGTCATTTGCATGTTAAATTCTGTGTTTAGAGCACCAAATATAATGTTATCATATATGAAACAATGGGGAGAAAAAAATATTTGTTTTTGAATGATTATAATCAATCGTTTAATCAAATATTTATACATATTTTTATAGGAAATTGAATGCTCTACAAAAAAGGACTAATGTTTTTAAGCGATTACTTTAACCATTTAAATGATATTCTAGATCAAACTTTGAAGAATTAAAAAATAATTATTGTCAAATAAATATGACATATTTTTGTAGGAAATTTAACGCTCTACAAAAAAGGTCCGATGTGTTTAATTGATTACTATAACCGTTGAGAAGATATTCGTATCAGTACACATTGGGATTCGGATACGAATATCTTCTAAACAATTTTTATGTAATTTTATATTTTATATACTTTTTTTAGGAAATTTAACGTCCTACAAAAAAGGTCTAATGTGTTTAATTGATTACTCTAACAGTTGAGAAGATATTCGTATCAGTATCAGTACGCATTGGGATTCGGATACGAATATCTTCTAAAACTGAAAAATAATTATTGTCAAATGAGTATGACATATTTTTGTAGTAAATTTAACGCTCCACAAAAAAGGTCTAATGTGTTTAATTGAATACTCTAACCGTTGAGAAGATATTCGCATCCGTACGAATTGGGATTCGGATACGAATATCTTCTTAACGGTTAGAGTAATCAATTAAACACATCAGACCTTTTTTGTAGAGCATTCAATTTCCTACAGAAATATGTATACAGATTTTATTAAACGTTTGATTAATAATGAAATATAGTATTTTTAATAAGAGACTAAAGAAAAAATGGAAATCTGTGATAAGAAGGATCTTCATATTAATATTAAGAGCCCACTGTAGAATTAATTTTTCAGTGTTTCTCATGTTTATAGGACTTACCTCTTCAGCGATAACGTGTTTTTTTTCTTCATAAGACAGAGTTATTTTCACCGGAACTTCGTTGGTTTCTTCGTTGTAAAATAACCCGTTGAAGGCCACAGCAACGTATATCGAGTTAACCGATTGCGTGCTGATGTAGGAAACGATGGCGGTACCACCAGAACCCATCATGGCTTCCTTGTTTTTACCGGAAGGTTCCAATAGAGAACTGAAGGTTTCCTTCGCCAAACCAACCTGCGGCAGGATGTTTCCGCTCAAAGTGACTTCGGACTGATCTTTGTCGCCCCACACCAGCACGGCGTACATCTTGCCCTGCCTCAGCAGCTTCCTGTAGTCCCTGGGCAGTCTCTTCCAAACCCCGCATACTTTTTTGGTCGCGTTTTGATACGCACTATTGACGAAACCGCCGCGTCTCGATAGAGCGAACTCCTCCAAGATGTTTCCGTTGGTGTCTACAAACTGCAACTGCTGGGGTCTCGCACTCTTCTCTGAGACGAAGAAGGAGTAATGGAGGTTTTTCTTGTGGAAGGTGAAGCGAGCGTTCGCCACCACGTTGATTTTGTTGATCTCGTTGGACATCGGCTCATTGTTGGTCACCAATGAGGATCTCCCGGTTAAAAGGGCGAAGTAGTCTAAAAGATATGGTTGGTAAAAAAAATCTGATGGTTATAAAAAGGTATTAACTTACAGTGTTTGTTGTTTTTCTCCTCGTCCTCGTTGGAATTGAGAGATACAACGTCGAGACATTGTTCTTGAGCGATGTTGGCGTCTGCAAGTAAAAAAATTATATAGTGGGCGGATAATTAACAGTTTAACTATCGGCTAATAATAATAACAGCATCGTTTTTGAAAAAGTGTGCGAGGGCGGTGCATGTAGAAAGTTTCCGAACGAGTATTACATATAAGGCCATGTACATATGCGAGAAGACGAAAAGAGAAGAGAAAATCTTTACGTATTCGCGAGCGCGCGCTCGCCTTTTGTTTATCTCGCTAAGATAATATCATATTGGCAATATGACATGTGAGTACCAACTGACGACTTTATCTCACCTTAGGGGCGCCTGTCTGCCGCCACCTACTGACGCACTATAATCGACGTTCAAAATCAAAATAACTCCCCGAATATGTTACCTGCCCTTTCGATTTTATGTCCCCTAAATTCGATCTTTATCAATTAAATAAATTTACTCGCATTCCTAGAATCTTTTTCTTTTAAATACGCATTGATAAGCTGTGGCTTTATGGCGGGCTGAAGTTTTAAGTTGTTTGACAGTTGTCAAATGTCATATAATCTTTAAAGTAATATTAAATGTGAAAATTATTTTATTATCTCAATACTTTAATATTTTAAAGTATAAATAATTGTTAAAATAATAATGGTAAAAATTACGTCAAAAATGTTTATTTATTTTCGTACAGATGTCGCTTAATACAAATACTTAATTGAATAGTTATTTATGTCATTAGGTTAAGAAGTAAGGCTTTTTGTGCTAAGCTCAATTGAGCAAAGCACAAAAGGCACTTCTTGGCCGAATGGCATACAACATTTTATCTTCAAAGCACTTTATATAGGTCAATTTAATTCAACATCAAAGCGGCCTAACCTCACTTTTTTAGAATCTCATTTATTTATTAGCTAAAGATTACATTAAATGTACAATAATTATTATTGCTTTTAGAAGCAGTAATAGTTTGACAATATCTAGCTACATGATTTAAGTAGAAATGGATTTTTGCTATTACATTGAATTCAATTAATTGTTTAATAAATAGGTATCTAATTTTAATTTGTTTGGATTTTTATTTAAAAAATAGGTAGTTTGGAATGTTTAAGCTATATTTAACATTTAATTTCACTGAAAACTTAAATCAAATTAAAATTATTAATTAATTTAAATCGTAGAAAAAGAATTGTGCGTTTTCTTGGTTGTCTAACCTCACTTTTTGTTTTATTATTCATATTTAATTTTACAATAATTTAATGAAAAATATTAAACATTAACAGTAAAACAAACAAATTAGTGCTTATTATAAATAAATTAAACCAGTTTAGTACGTTAATTTCTTAGAAAAGGATTAATTTGTCAAAACAATACCCCTAGCAAGAAAAAATCGAACTAATTACTTGCCTCATAAAATTTTTTATCGGCCTAGGCCATAACAAGGTATTTCTTTATCGAATGTTGACAACAATAAAGTTTAAATTATAGACCGCGTGGAGATAAATAATTTTTTAGATAATATTAAACTTGATACATAATATCTTAATTTCTGATGAGTTAATTAACTTGTTTAAAACTTTTTGTTGATTTTAGAACACAAGGCCGCGTATAAACTTATCTGGTGGCGCCTAGAAAGACTGGCGCCTCAAAATCAAAACCGTATTTATTTTTTTAATTTTTTCCCCAGTGGGCGTCGAGCATACACACCCACCATATAGATGGCGCCACTGTTAAACGGCCGGCCTCCTACAACCTTTATTTTTTTTAATTGAAATTTCTCTTTGTGTCATAAAATTATTATTTAAACAAGGAAATGAAAGGCTTTTAATCTACATTCTACCATGCATTTAGATATAATTGCATAAAAAACTTATAACTGTAATTAATGTTAAATGGATAGTTGCGCAATTAATGGTATTTGATGACATTTATAACTATTTTACGATACGAGTTTTTTTTACAACAACTAACAACGAAACGTAATTTACTTTGCCAATGACATTTCCATTCGATTTTTTTTTGCAACAAAGTGCATTTATTTTATAATTTTATTATTATTATTATAATTGCTATGAAACGAAACATCCGACATTCTAAACGTCAAAAATCAGGGACGCGAAAATTGGCGCGTTTTTTTCAGTCTGCGGTGTCCGTTTCTTATTCTAAAAATAAATGCAAAGTGTATAGACCTCACATGTCGTATTTTAAAACGCACGACACACACACACAGAGATTTTGTGTCGAGCAAAATAAATATTTACTCTGGCGCCACGATATTATCCACTATTATATGCAAGATTATCATAAAAAATTGCGACAATGTTGCCAAATTTAACGCGACGTTGCCGTTTTTTTGATTACACGGTTGCCAACTTACTTTGGGCGTCGGGGCAGATTTTGCAGCATGATCCGGGTTTCAGGACAGGGTCGTCGCAAGTGACTTCGGGGCATTCGTTTTTTATGTTACGGCACTGCACGCGCGCCACGATGCGTCTCTTTCTCTGCAACTAAAAAAAAAAATTTTTAAAAAAAAAATTTCGGTAAATTCGTTTTAAAGGTAAAGGTCGGGAGGTCAGCGACCTAAAATTGTTTCACAAGTCGTCGTGTGATCTACCGACACCTTTTGCATCTGTCAGATTTACACCCACTATCAACTGTTTCGCAACATTTTTATTTTGTTGTTTACGCGGTATAAGGCACCCCACACACTCACAACAATCCATTCATAAGTTTATACATTAAAAAATTTAATTTAGAAAAATTGTACTACTTTTTAAGACTAGGAATTGCTACAAAATCATAAAATACATAGCATGTAAAATGCCTCGGCTATTTGTGATATGCATAGGTCAGTAAGAATATATTATAAATAGATTATTAGGTTACGTAATAATTTTAAACTGCATTCGAGTAATAAAATGTGGAATATTTACATTTTTTTAAGCAAAAACTTAATCTCAGGTTTTATCAAAATAATTGTTTTTAATGTCAAAAAATATAAGAACAAACTATAAAAAGGTTATGTAGCAGTTTTATGATAACAAAAAAGGTTTTAAAAGCTCATAAATTTTTTATAGCAGTTTTATAAGAAACTAACTAGGTCCAAGCTTTTTCACGAACAAAAAAATCAGTGTATATTTAATCAAGTTTAAAACCAGCAATTTTTTTATAAAACCAGTTTTTTTCTTAAAACACCATATTTACAAGCTTAGTTTAAGGTGGTTTTACGAGGACCGTTTGTAAAATGCAAAATTTTTGTTTTTACTACAAAACATGGGTTTTATAGAGTGTCTATAAGAACCAACATGGTTTTATAAGAGATTATATAACGGTTGTATAATGGTTTTATAAAATAGTTTTATAAGACAGAATAGGTTTTATAATAACAAAATACTTACTGCTACACATTCGCATCTCATGCAGTAGAGAACGCCTATCGGTACCCCCAAGTCCGGTGTCCACTGGGTGCCCAATTCTTTAACATCTTTTCCAAAAACGCATTCTGAAAAAACATAACGTAAAAATTAAAAACCACTCAAAATGGCACGCGAATATCGTTCAAACAAACTAAATATTATCGTACAGTTATATAACTTTTGGTAATTGTATAAGCGTTAAAACATCACATTAGCCTTGTAAATATTTACAGTGGATTTTTATTAATACTCATTTTATCTTAATGGTCTCGAGTGGATTTGGCGCCATGTGCAACAGCAATGAATTTAATAAATTCTATTAATCCCGATTTAATAAATTCTTATTGATGCAGACGTAATTTTTTTTTCAAGCGATAATCCCCCATACAAATCACTGTACAAACATGCCAAATATAATAACTTTAAGGCTTTAAAATATGCGCTAGTTATAGTTGGTTTACTAGCGGAAAAAAAATTGCCAGCGCAAACAGGTTTCGCAACAGCAAAATAACTGAATTGTATATCTGCGTGAGCCCACCACCGCGGCGAGTTAAAAAAAAAAGAAAACTGAAGCAAATTGTTTAATAAACATATACGCTATACGGGGTTAGTTTAGCAAATATCACTTTTCCGTACAATTTAGTTTCAAGGTAACAAGTGTTTAACAATCGAGAAAACATTATAAATCAATATACTTAATATACGTAAGTTAATACACTCAGGTTAAGTTTCAAAATGTGCTAATTAAATAATATCGAATAACTATAAGTTTTACATTATAAATTTTGTTTTATAAGGTCTACAGTCACTGTAACAAAGTTTAAACAAATATTAGGTTTTATAGAATTTTTTTTGTTTTTATGGCAAAACATGGGTTTTATAGCGGTTTTATGAGAACAAAAATATATATAATAGGTTTTATAGGGAACTTAAGAGTGTAAAAAAGAACAAAAACGGTTTTATAAGGATTTAAACAGAAAAAAGTGCATAAGAACAAAATGGTTGTATAAGTAATTTAAAAGTGCCTAAAGGTTTTATAGTGGTTTTATAAGTAATTTATAAAGGTGTTGAAATTATAAATCAATATAAAACGCTCGTTTAACATTATAAATTTTGTCTCGTGCAATGCAGCTTCAAGACTAAATTCCAGAAATATCTAGGCATGTGGAGTTTTCTGTATTTGGAAATAAGACTACGTGCTGTAGGGATCAAAAGAGCCATCGCGTATTATAGGTGTGTCTGGTCGTTATAGTGACATTGAAATGTGGCCAAAGTGAATTTTTAACGTGAGTAATGTGCCTGAGGCCATCCGACTGCGACTTAGCACCGTCTAGCATCAAACTAGAACACACATAGCATGTTAATTGCTCGAATATAATAACTTAATTTTGTTAAAGGAAATGCGTGTCTGATTGTAAGAATAAAATTAATATCTTCATTTTACAGAAGTTATGCTGACAATCTGGGCTATTTTAGAGCGCCTACTATCAGTATATTTAGAATAAGTACTACAAACTAAAGCAATTATAAATATTATTTCGCACTCTATTATTTGTTATTGCTGCTAAAAATACAGCGGCGCCAGTACATTGTTAAATTTACTTGAAAACCAGTATTTTTAGTTTTAATCTTGATTCTGTTATCTAACCTCGTTTGAAAAATTTGTTTAGATAAGATTGTATTTTTTTTCGGAAATCGTTCTATAATTAACAACCAATCCTAATTATTAAAAAAAAAAATGGAGTCATAGGTAAAATTAAACATGTTATATAAAATCGGCACGATCGTATGCTTTTAAAAATAAAATATTACCGCAAATTGTTGCTAGGCGAAAATATTTTCGCAAACCGTGTTTATTCGTGCGCAACCGCAATAAAACCTTTTACTTAATAATAATTATTAATCGAAATAATCCGCCAGACTTTCAACCAGACGCAAAAATAATTTCCTAGTTGTATCGAACAATCATGAAAGAAGCCGACGACTTATTAGCATAGAAAAAAACCGAACGGAATACATTTTATTGAATGCTAATCCGCGGTGTGGAACTCCCTTAGTGTGGGTGAAGCGCTTTAGAATTTTCGAAAAAAATATCCGCTATTGAGTCTGATGCGTCATTTTCAATCACCTGTATTAAAATATTCACTGAAGGTGGGCGGATAAAGCTTTGGTAGACGAAAAAATCTTTAATCAAGGTTGAAAAACAACAATTTTGCTAATAAACCCATTTTTTCTTCTTCTTGAACAAGCTTAGTTTTATAAGAACTACAATGTTTTTAATAACAATTTTTGAAAGGAAAGATTAAGTTTTATATCAAAATTATTGTTTTTTATGGCAAAACATGGGTTTTATAAAAACATAAATAGTTTTATAAGGGAAATTGCCTTACATATAAGGCGTTTTAAGTATAAAAAAGTTCTATAACGTTTTAAAATCAACAATGGTTTTATAAGAAACTAAAAGTGCAAAAAGGTTTTATATTAGTTTTATAAGGAACTTCTTTATCTATTTATTTTATTCAAAGTAAAAAACAACAATTTTTATTGCTCAAAACCCCAGGTTTACAAGCTTGGTTTTAAGTGGTTTTATAATAACTACTACTGTTTTAGTTACGAGTTTTATTAAGCACGAGCGAGTGTTTATTAAAAACGAGTGTCTAAAGAAGTTTATAAACTAGTTGCATACTACTTTAATTACGACGAACACAAAACAGAACTTAAAGCCAATTTTCTTTGTTAAAAATTTGACATCTGTCACTTTCACCCGAATTTAACCTCACTTTTTCACAATTTTTAATAAAGCTAAACTAATTAAATTCACGATTTATATCAAAATTATTGGTTTATATGGCGTAACATGGGTTTTTTTTTAAACAAAAATAGTTTTATAAGACAGAAGTAGGTTTTATAAGGATTTTAAAAGTATAAACAATAGCAAGACGACAAAAATAGTTGTATAAAACAGAAATAGATTTTATAAGTGTGAAAAAAACTTCAGAAAAAGTTTTATAAGGAGTTTAATTTAGTGCAAAAGTGTTATATATCGGTTTTATTCAACTAAGTTTTAGGTTTTTTTATACGGAATACTACTGTTTTTAATGACAAAATTTGTAAGCTAGAACAGCAAAATTACATGTTTTACCCGTGTTTTCTCATAAAACACAATAATTTTGCTACTTAAGATTTATTTAATTATATATTTTGGTTTTATAAGAACAAATATAGTTTTTAAGGCGTAAACGGGTTTTAAATGAGTTTAACAATGGTTTTATAGTGGTTTTATAAAGACATAAATCGTTTTATAAGATGTGTAAAAAGGTTTTAAAACGGTTTTATAATAACAAAAAAAGTTTTATAAGGCAAATTTATTTTTTAAAGAAATTCGAGAGTAAAAACGTTTAATAAGACAAAACTGATGGATTTGATCCGTGCAAATTCCAGTTGGCTCGCGCCTAACGCCGTATCGAAAACAATTATAGTGTACGTCGCGACGGTATAAAATCGGCGTCTATTTGTGTGAGAAGACGATCTCGATTGAGGTCATGCACTCTGCTCGGCACAATACACGGCTTCTACGTCATGCTTGCACACAGATTGTAGTGTACTCGGTAAAGGTAAAGTATAGCGAAACAACAAGTGCAGTTCGATTCGTATGAGGCGCATCCACACGTTAAGGTGTGCATGTGTGTGTGTGAGTGTGCTTTAATAATGGCGGGCACACGAATTTAGATCTGCGATTTTTTTACGTAACGCGCGCTATTTTAATACGGCTTTTGCGACAGCAAAAAAAGTTCTATAAAAACTGATTTACAACTATATTAAAATTAGTAGTTTTGCAAATTAACTAAAAACAATTGAAACAGTAAAAATTGAAGGTTCCCATGTATATAAATAGACAAAGTCATAGCTGAATTCATAATATTTAATAATTCAAAACATGAAATCTTGATGAAAAAGTGGGTCATCATTATTTATGAACTTTTATATTGTTTATCGAATACTTTTTTGCACTGTACCAGATGTTTTATTCTATTATGTGCTGTTTTTATTGCGAGTTTGACAGTCGGACCACCTGTAAGGAAATCGGTGTTTAAAAGCCTTTTCCTAACAGGTGTTCCTGAACGATATTTCCCCGCTATTACCTGTGATCCAAACAGTAGCAAAAGTAACACCTCCCCTCGGTTTTTCCAAAATATGGTGCATTTAATCCTCGGGAGCTAATTTCAGGTATGGGAGATTATTTTTGCGCATAATGAATTTTGAATCAATTAATCCAATCGAATTACGACTTAAACAAAACATGAAAAACAAAAATAACGTCACGCGACTTATTAGGCAAAGCAACTTTTATTAAAACAATTGAAATGCCGCCGTTTTCAGAATTAACGGCCTCTGTTTGCGAAAACAACCTTGCGAAACTCAAATAATATTTTATATTTTCGTCGAAGATTTGCTAAACAAGCTTTAATGAAGTCAAAGGTGATGAAGATATCGGCTTGCTCAGGTGATGTTTTAAACGGTTTCATAGGGGTTTTATAATTGCATTAGGCACTCACCGGCGTTTCTGTTTCTAATCCTCGAGTTGTCTTCGTCATTCAGGGGCGACTTGTTCCTCGCTTCGACCGAAGCGAGCAAAATCACCAAAACAAAATAGAGACAGTTAGGCATCGTAACTGATTCGCAACACAAAATAAACACTGAACACTGCACACAAAAATAATTTATGCGAAATATATTTTCGGAAAAATTTATATCGTCAACATTTCGATGTGATCGGTATGTGAGACGTCAAAGTGTGTTGCCGCCGCGGTAACTTGTTGAGAACTGGCTGGTTACACCGCGAGATATCGTTCTATGTAGCGGCCCCCTACCACTTCTAGGAGCCGGGTCCTTAAGGATGCCAGGATTAAGGCGGCACAGCCAATCGCGAAGGTCCTACGAGAGCGGGCCATCGCTGGTTTGCCGGTTTCGGTAGCCTCTTCGTCTTCAGGCAAAAAAATTCCGCAACCGATTTTTGATGCATTTTAAGTCAAGTTTTCAAGAATCAAAGTTTTATTTGTATGCCAGTAATAATATTATTGATAAATTTAATTTTTTCTAATGTTTTTATTTAACATTTAATATGTAGCGGTTATATTTTCTTTGAAGTAAAAAAATTAAGTAGACAGTTTAAGGTGTATTAAGTTTATTCTACATTTTGGTTCAGTTTAAATACAAAAATCTTACCCCAATTTTAAAATTATAAGTTACACTTTATTGATAAAAACTTAAATTTTTGACAGTTACTGGAAAATCCTCTTTAAACCAAAATTTCAAAAAAGCTATATCCGGTTAAATAACTAGCATTCTAAGTAAATTAACCAAAAATTAGGTAAACGTTAAATTTTAAATAATTTACTGACTGTAGCGGTTATATTTAAATATTTTCTTTGAAGTAAAAAAATTAAATAGACAGCTTAAGGTGTATTAAGTTTATTCTACATTTTGGTTCAGTTTAAATACAAAAATCTTACCCCAATTTTAAAATTATAAGTTACACTTTAATGATAAAAACTTAAATTTTTGACAGTTACTGGAAAATCCTTTTTAAACCAAATTACTTAAAAGAAAATTTCAAAAAAGCTATATCTGGTTAAATAACTAGCATTCTAAGTAAATTAACCAATAATAAAGTAAACGTTAAATATTTGGTTTATTTATGACTTGTATCACGAAGTAAAATAGGTGTATTAATTTTATTGTAAATTTTACACTTAACCCTTTCAATACTGCGGGGATATATACGTCCCAAAGAAAATTAAAAAATGTCTCTACTTAATTAAGTGCGTTTAAATAAAACAGGGTCGGGACAATTTAGTATTTCTATGTCTTGACTTGGGATATCAGTAATAAAAACTTAATTTATTTAACGTCATGTGAACAATAACCAGCTGTTTTTCGGCCATTGCACGCTCTAAATTGAAAAAGACCAGTCACATAACCTATTTTGTGCAGTTTTTGTGTAAATTTTGCTTGAATTTTTGTGATACTTTATGTGCATTGTACGTCACAACTCATTCCTCAAAATATACGTTGGGACAAAAATATCCCTGCAGTAATATGACAGGGGATAGTTTTATCCCATCAGTGTTTTTTGATAATAAACATTTTCAAAAATAGTAGAATTTCTTTAGTGTGGGGATAAATATATCCCAGGGCATATTACTGCAGGGATAAATCTGTCCCAGGCCTTTTTTTCAAATACCACCAAAGTTAAAAATCTGTTATTCAGTCAATTAACTATTTTTAACCTAAATATAGTTTTAACACTAATAAAAAAGTTTTAAATTAATTTCCGAAAAGTCGTATTGAAAGGGTTAAATGATAAAAACTTAAGTTTTTTACAAAATTTTCGGTCAAATTTAAATTCTGAAATTTGATCTAAAACAAAATCAGTTGTAGAAACATTTATTGAACCTAATGAATCCATTCTATATGTTTCCATTTTGTTTTAATGATTACATTTTTACAATTTATTTAATTAAGTTAGTAGTACTAACTTAGTACGTTGTAGTTTTAAGCAAATATTAACTAATTCATTTTGTAATAAAGTATACTTAAGCAAAATATGGTTTTTTTAACAAAATTCTTTTATTTCAAAGAAAATTTAAAAAAATGGGACTGGCATTTTAAATTGAAGTTTGAATTTTAAAAGCTAAAGTAAATTAAGCAAAATTAAAAACTTTTTTTTAACCTCTATATAAACCAAATATTTAACTAGTTAGTAATATTCCTTATAAGTTAAAAAGTAGGTTATTTTAGAAGTTACATTGCATTATATTAACTTATAATTTTAACCTTTGAAAATGGTTTAGTTTAACTTTTGATATAACTTTTTGGAAAATTAAACACAGCTTTGGTTAATTTGGATATATTTTTTTAACCAGCAAGTTATATTTTATCAAATATATTTTAACTCGCTGGTAAGTTAACGTTAATAATTAAATTGGTTAAAAAAGTGATGATTTTGCAGTTTTCATTGTTACCTTCATACAAAAATTAGTCAAAAATGACTAATTTAATAGTTAACAGTGGCTGCTTTTTCACTTGTACCATGGTTAACCATGGAATACCATGGTAACCCAAATTATTATGTTAAATTGTCCCCTGAATCCGAAAATACCGTCAAAAATTATGAAAGTAGAGCAGTTTTTGAGATATAGTCAATTCCATATTAAATGGAAAATTGACTATATCTCAAAAACTGTTCTACTTTTTTAATTTTTGACGACATTTTGGGATACCATGGTATTCCATGGTTAACCATGGTACAAGTGCAAAAGTTTTTTTAGTTATTTTTGACTAATTAATTATTAGACTATACTTTATTAAGGATCTAAAATATATGAATAAAATAAAACTATAGATCATAAACTTAGGATTTCTAAAAAATTCTCAAAATTTTGAAAAAATTAAGTTCCAGATTTAAACATTTATTTACAAGTTATTTGCTAGTATATTTTTTTTTATAATGGCTTGATACATTGATGATTCCTTAATTTTTTTAATATCTAACCATGGTTAAAAATTTTAACTTAAAATGTTTTACCTGTTTCCAAAAAAACCAAGTTTGCTCTGAATGCATTCAAAATAAAATTATAACATAAAAGGATTTTAATTTTAAGCCTAATTTGTTAATCTTTGTAGGTTACATTTTAATAGTATTTTTTTGTAAAAATGTGTACTTAGAACCTTAACGACAAATTCAATATTAAAGGATAAAAAAGCACAAATAAAAATTTTAATGCGTTTTTTACATTTTTAATTATCAATTAATTATCAAGTCAATTGAACACTATTATATAAAATCATTTCTATAAATAAACTGTATCAAGCATAGAATTTTGGAATTAACTTCAGTAATACCTTTTTATAAATAATTTGCAGTAGTAATCCTCTAAATGCAGAAATATTACCTTTTTTGTGCATAGGCCTAGGTAAAATATTAATTGCATAAAGGGAATTTTATGCACTTTTTGGAAAACCCAAAAATTATTTGCAAAATATATGTTGGGTTTGGAAAATAAAATTAGTAAGTTTCTTTTTTTTAATTTTAGTTTTTAATATCTCTAGATAAGTTTATAGTAATATTAAATTAGTAAATTTGAATAAAATTAAGTTTTATTTAGATTGTTAAACTCATTTATTAAAAACAATATTTCTTATAAAACTCTATTTTTGCAAAACAAATTTTGATGATTTTTTTTACGCAGTAGGTATATTAACGTATGATCTTTGACGTAACTCGAAAACAATCAAATATTATTATGATATAATTTTTTTTAATTAAGATACCTTATCATATTATTATACATTTTTATTATAAAAACAATACATATAATCAAATTTGCACTCTTGAAATTAGGTTCTTTCCGAAATTGTGTTTATGGTATCAGATGAATGGGATTATTAGTATCTGGGGGATTTAAATTTAAAGCCTCCAATATTATAATTAAGTTAGGGAAATAATAAATGCATCTGAAAATGCAATGGGTTTTTCTAAAGTCAGGCAGTTTGTTGCAAGTAAATAAAAAAAATTCGGTTTATGTTACTATTCCATATACCTAAAGTTAATAATTTCAGAGATATTTGAGAATTTCTAAAATTTTAAATATTATTTTGTATCAAGAAACCTGTGACGGTATATAAGGTTTTTTAATTTATTACACTTTTTTATTTGGACTATTATTACATAATATCGATATAAAAAGATAACTATGCCAAAAATAATATCAGATTCTAAAGTAAAAAAACTTTTAAGGGCAAAACTTCATTTCGATGAATTTATGCCAAATGCCCCAATGACAGAAAAAGTACATCGCCTTATGGACATTTTTAAAGTAAAAAAGTTACGTTTTTGGTTTTAGAAATATTAAATCACACATTATTTTGAGCTACGCAGATCAAACATTTTTGAAATTTCAAAAAATAAGGGGGAAATAAAAAAACAAAAAATAAAAATTATTTGCTGTTGAGTCAATCCAAATGAAAACACTAAAAATGAATTTAAAAGTGCGCTGCATGATTTTTTATTTTAATGAAAAAATTTAAGGATGATCTTTTAGGTATACCTGATATATCATATCGATGACTTTTTGCCAAAGTATCGCAAGTAACATAACCAAAATTTCGGAAATTGAAAACATTTTGCTTGCCTGTTTTAAATTAAATATAGCCTAAAGGTTTTATAATAAGTAATTACTTAGCTTATAATTATAGCTATTTACTTGTTATAAAACCTGTAGGTTATATTTGGTTTAAAACAGACTTTAAAACAAAAATGTTTTTAATTCCCGAAATTTGAGTTATGTTGCTTGCGATACTTTGGCAGAAAGTCATCGATATATGAAAAACCGTTGCCGTTTTAATTTTTAGTTGCTTTATTTTTAATCGGCACCCTTTAGAAACCTGAAATCGTGTCATTTTCTTTTTCAATAATTTTTTTAATAAAGAAAATGATACTCTAGAAACTTAAAATAATAGTTACGTTATCTATTGTATAAGTACTTGATACCTGAAAAAAAGTAACTTTCTAGATTTAGCAGGAGCCAGACAGAAATCACAAAAATTGGCAAATTATCATGAATCTTTAGTGGTTTACAATTCTTTTATGAGATTAACTAATTGGATAATAATAATTTATATCGAAAACACACTTACTGAACAGTAAAACAAAATTAAAATCATTTCAATATTTGTCACAGAAAAAAGTTCTGGCACTATAAGAGAGTAAGAAATTGACACGATTTCAGATTTCTAAAGGGTGCCGA